ATATTCTTCTACGCTACGCTACGCTACGCTATGCTACTGACTTTGAGTGGGGTGGGGTAGGGTGGGGATGGGAGGGGGTGTTAGCGTTCGCTTCTAAGTGCACACCATTTGTACAATAACATTACGTAGATAATCTTCTTTTCATACTTCTTGCGCCCGCCGCAGCATATTTTCACTTTCCTAGAAACATTTGCCATGGTCATAGAATCAAAGAACATCCAGAGCTCCGCAAGTTGGTGATGCAGTACATGTGGCGAAGATTGATTGGACCATGTAGCCCAAATGACTTGTTATATAAATGAGCTTTGCAACATGGTAAAAAAGAACTCCCTGAAAGAGAAGAGGAAAAGGATCGCTGAAAGAGAAGAGGAAAAGGATGAGTGCACTTACGATCAACCAAGAAAAGTCGTTTTGCTAATGGTTGAAATGTAGAACTTCAAGGTCGATACGTGAAAATGGGCACGGCGCTTCAGTGCCATTAACGTTTTGCCGAAGACAATGCTCATTTTGCGCCACGGCGCAATAGGGGTCACCCTGTAGCTTAGTGGTGGGTGAATCTCTGTTTAGAACAACCGCTTCCCGAAGGGCTCATGACAACCATTGAAAATCACAAGCTGCCATCCTGGCGGACAGCTGGGTGTAAGTAAAGAACTTCCCCAAATGGATTGAGTGACCGGTTTTTCTTCTGCCTCAGTCCGATTCACGCTCCTCTGGCTGCAGGGGTGGCGAAATTGGCCTTCGGCCCCTTACCGGATCTGAGCGGCTCGCTCAGCGATCTGCCCAGCGATGTCTCCGGTCTGAATCGGGTTCCAAAGAATCGGTCGGGATCAGCGAGGGCATGGACACCTGCAACGGTGTCCTTTTCATTCAGACACGTTTTTTTTTTGTATCGTGTGCAAGTTCGACATTTACACTGCTTGCTTTGAAAACGGACGGCCGCAGCCGTGCTTGGAATCCGGCCCCCGGAAAAACGGCCTTTGGATTGAGGTCGCTGCTGGCTCGTATGTGGAGAGCTTCAATGTGATGTTGGCAGATCAGGCTTACTTGGCAGATTGGGAGAATGCCTTGGAGACTCTTGAAGAGATGAAGACCTTCAGCATCAGTCCTGATGTGACCAGCTACTTTGCAGCCTGGATAGAAAATAAACAATCTGTTGGATTCAGGTTCTTGCCGCCAGGTCCATGGATGTTTTTCCCTTTTTTGGGGGGGGGGGCAGGGCTACAAATGAAGTCCCAGACATTCTAAACAAAAAACGGTGCTCAGTGGGCCAGTGGTCCAAGTGGAGTGTTTTATGGTGGACCCTGTCCCGCCATCTATTTGTTGGCCTTGGTCGCCCAGTTTTCGAAGTGGGGTGAAACATTTTGGAAGAACTGTGCTCGGTTTCTCTCCACAGCAAATGTTCTAAGTATAGGAACCTTTCAGTGGTTCTTTCTTGCCTGTTGATGATTGGTTTACCGGATCCGTTACGAGGTCGACCAGACCGGCTTCTCGGTGGCGCAACAAAGCCGTAGCAGCCGGTAAAAAGATCATGCCAATTCTTGAGGAAGGCCAGTTCGAAACATCATCATCGACTGTTGGTACGTGAACACTGACCAACCATTTGGAAGTGACAACCATTTCACTTCACTAGGATGCAAAGCGGACAAGCATCAACTGTTACTGAAGTTGCTGGAAAAAGGCCTTTACCAAACATTATCCATTGCTGCTTGACATTTTGATATATCCAAACTACAAAATTACATCTTATTATGAGAGGCTCACATCACTCTACGGAGTTGAAGAGTTCAGTGCCTCTCGAATTGAGTGAGAAACGGGAGAGGGCGTGGAGGCAGGCGTTTTGGATTTGGGGGGTGGCCCAGAGATTTTTCAGCCATAAATCAGGGTGAAACATCCAATGAGACCAGGAGGCAAATTCACTGCGCCACAACAAAGCGAGGCCTGCATTTGTGCTTCTCGAAGGGCCAGCGCTTGGCAGTCTGCGTTGTCTCTCCTCCAGGAGGCTTGGAATGTGGACTTGGAGCCCACTGCGTGCTGGCAGCAAGAGACTGTTATTCCGTTCATGTTTGGAATGTGAAGAAACGTGCTTGGGGTAGACCGCCGTGGGTGGTGAAGGGCGGCGAAGCCATGTCCACATTCATGCCTGGTGGTCCCTTCATATGGTTGTGGGTCAAAACAAGGCCCTTTCTTGAAGAGGCGAACTGAAGAGTGAACGTTTCGCTCGGGTAGGGGGGAGCAGGGCAACCTACACTCCAACCTCTCGGCCTCGGCCTCCCTCGGCCTCTCTCCGTGAAATCCATCCAATGACCGTCGCTTGCCTCAGGTGGAGTGCTACAGTCACACGATCCGTGCCTGTAGCCACCATGAAATTGCCTCGAAGCTGCGGGCGGAGCTGAAGCACTGGGGGGCAGCGCCGGATCATGTGGCACGGTTCCATACCACGCCGATGATGAAGTGGGTCCTTTGGGTGCATGAAACAAAGCCGTCCAGCTGGTGCTTCTGTTTGGGTGGGTGGATGTTGCGGGTGGGTGTTCTGGACTGGGATGTGAAGTGATTCTCGCGCGCCGCGGGATTCTCCGTTCAGAGTCCGTTCGAGAGTCCAGTGTGAGTTGATAAGAGAAAAACGGTGATTGATGGGTTACTCACTAGTTACTGACTTAAGACACAAAAGGCCGTATAAGCGCTCATGCTGGGCTGAAAAAAAACTTGCGGTGACGGTGACAGTTCTTCACGAAGGCTTCCTGTTTTGTTTGTTTGTTTCTTTCCTTGCCAGTTTGAGGGGACTCCCCAAGGTTCGGTGTCCTTTGGGGTCTCTCTTTGTAGGGGTATGCACCGGAAGCTGCACCCCATGGCGTTCTTCTCAAGGCCAGGGAGCTGAAACAGTACGGCTGTGCGGTGAAGAGTGAGATCAACTGGCAGGGTGGTCCTGTCCCAAAGCCTCCGGATGCTTGGCCTTGGGAGTGACACCATGGCGACGTTTTTCTTTTCTTCGCAGGCACTCAGAGTTTCCATCAGATACAAAAGATCGATATGATTGGCGTAAATATAATATGTAAATGATGTATTGAAGGGAAGGGGTTAACAAGAGTTGGTGGCCAGTGGGCATTTATTTTTTTGTGCGTGTGTGTGGAAGTATTTGTTTTTTTTGCCCAACCATTTGACATTGAGACTCCGGCTCTTTGTTGCATCTGAGGAAGGCACCCAGCCAGGCTGCTGGTTACTGCCCAACCAGGACAGGGGGTCGGTTGAATTGGATTTTCACATTGCCCAGACGCAGTTTGGATGCAGCCGCCCTGCCCCGATGGGTCAAAGCGTCTAGACTCCCGTCCTCAGAAGCTGCAAAACAGGAGCGGAAGGATCCACGAGGGTCTCAAGTCTGAGTCCTGAAATCACCGGTGCTTCCAGTCAGGTCGGCGGGACGCCGTCGGCGGGACGTCCTGCCGGTCTCGGCAGACCTGACTGCAGTCGGACTGCGGTCGGCAGGATGGTGTGGCCTTGGAGATCGCTGCGCGGCAGAGGGAACTACGTGAGGCTGGCTGGAGGATCATCTCGGTCGAGCCGCACGTGGTGTCCACCTTGCGGAACAAAGCGTCTTGGACGTGGTGGGAACGAAGGGTTCCCTTAAGAAGTATGTATTGCATCTGCTAAAAGGGCAACCAGACCCTTCAACAGGCCGAACGAAGCGTATGTTACAGTATACTGGTTTTATCATGTTCTTCAGTTTTCAGGTGCCCGCCATTCAAGCTACTGTACCTTATTGACCTAGGGCATGAAAATTCCGCCACACCCTGAGCAACCCTACTGAGGCCAGTATGCTCGAATATGCCAAGGAGAAAGGCATTGGTGCTTCAACCCCAAGGCTTCGGCGGATGTTGAGGGCTTGTCAGTCCCCACTGTCGCTATATACACTTCCACTGTCTTGGGGTTGTGTATACACTGTAATTTGTTGCAATATACACTTCGGGGTTGTGTATACAACCCTCCAGTCTTTCCACTGTCGCTACACTTCTCTGCAATTTTGCTACACTCAAAAGAGAACAGGAGCAAAGGGCATCGCTCCTAGGAACAAGAAGCTACTAGGGGCTCCTGGCCTTACTACTAGGAACAAGGACGCTACTAGGAGCAAGAAGCTACTAGGAATGGTCAACGACAAAACGCTCCACCTCAGTTCCCGCGAAGCTGGTCAGCCACACAGCTTGGACCTCAGGCCACTCACACACGAAAAACACCCCGCGCTTTTCAAAACACTACGCTTTTTGAACCAGAAGTGACCCACCATGGGCACCGGCAGGTGCTTTGGCACTGCAGGGGAGGCGGAATATCCCTGCATTCTGAAGCCAGAGCTGGGGACCTTTGGACCCTCGGCCCAGACAGATGTCCATCCTGGTTTCATGTGGTTTCGTCTGAGGCTCCGGCATGTTTTTTTTGGGGGGGTTCCGTGCGAACACGTAGAGAAGCTTCCTTTGTGTGAATATGTGTGAATTGGTCGTTTTCAGCCTTGACCAATGCCCTTTTGTTGCATCAATGCCGCTTCCCCATCTTTGCACATGGTGAAGCTTCTTCGCAAGCAAGCCTTCCATGGGTGGGACGCTGCTGCAGTCCGTCTCCTGTTTCCTGTTTCCTTCTGCCGGTCTTCCGCCGGTTTTTGCAGGGAAGGATACCCACGTGGTTCGCTCCGAGGAGGAGGTGGACCGACTCACGCGCGGTGAGGGATTGGCTCCCAAGTGGGTTCTGCAGGAGTTGGTGCCCGGGCGCCTGGATGCTGGGAGAGAAACGAAAAAGCAGAGGCTTTTGATTCAGAGGTTTTTGAGTCTAACGTTCGTACATGTTTTGTAGGAGTTCTGTTTGGATACACTCCCTGGAAGAGTCATGGTTACGTGGGAAAACACTCATTTGTAGAGATGCTCATCCAAGGGGCCATGCCATCCACTTCCATGATTATTCTAGGGAGCGTACTGTATTTGTTCTAAATGGGTTATTGACCTTGCATTGATGTTCAGGAATATTCAATCACTTTGCTGGTGCTGAAGGGCGTGGTGGTGGACTACGTCAACACCTTGTACGAGTACGATGGTGAGGAATATGTTTGGCCATTCGTTAAGGAGGTGCGGCACGAGTATGTATCTGTTTCTTGGATTCTCTATAATGGCCAACCGCAACTCAGCCGGGGCTCCTTTGGAGGGTGTATGAGGGTGTACTTGTTTCTCTACAGCATCCCCAAGTCGTGGCTAGAACATATACAATGCGGCTCCTTTTCGATACATATATATATATATAGATCTTTGTTGATTCTGGAGAGATCATTCTTTCAGAGTCTTCCGTGCACCGAAATCTCGGGAGATCCAAGGTTCCTCAAGCTCATCTGGATGTCATGAGGATCCTGTTGTCAGAGTTCAGCGGCATTTGTTGCCTGGGTTGCTTGGACGTGGTAAGTCTGACAATCCGTCGATCTCTTCCATGTATGTCGTGGGTCAAAAGACCATGTATGTCGTGGTTGTGGTGAACCTCGTGCCGAAGAACCGCTTGGCACGTGATTGGCACACCAAGTAACCAAGCGGAATCGACCGGACCCGAATCGACTTTCTGCCCCAACTTGGAGTCTTTGATCTTCCCCAACTTGAAAGTGAGGTATGGAGTCCGGAGCCCTGCAGATCGCATCATAGTGGATCCTTTGTGATCCCAGGGTAGTCGACGGAAGATTCGTTTTTCACTGTAGACTCTATGAGAGGAACCTGCAGAGACGTGTCTTTGTGTTTTTCTTCACATGGCCACAGCGGCCGCCGCGCGGGGTTTCGAGGCTACAAACTCCGTGGGGATGGCAGCCTTTGCATCTTCGAAGTGAACCCTCGCATCGGTGGAGACCTGGTCTTCGAGTGCCCGAAGCCACGTGCGCGAGCACTCTTTGAGAAGCTGGATGCCATGTTCGATGAGCGGATTTGAGCGATAGAAATCTTCCTGCATCCACTATAGACTCCTCGTGACAAGGTCCTTGTAGCGCGCAATTATATAGAGGGAAATACCAAGAGATGAGGGACTTGTCATGGGGGTTAGGTGGTGCACAAGACGACTGTCCACCGAGAGGATCCCTGACAAAAAGACCGCTGGCTTTATGCGCACACTTGGCTTTAGGGTAGTTGAATGTTTGCTATCAGAGAGCAGCCTCCCAAAAGTCCAGCCAGATGCAGCAAGAAAGATGTTTTGACTCATGTCTTGTGTTTTTCTTTAGGAGGTCTGGAGGGCGAGACGGAACCAGCATTTTGGGTGTGCAAACTGGGCAGGAAGACTCATCCATGAACAACGCTCAAACAGATGTGAGTCTGAGCTGTTTAGGAGCCCCATGCTCCAAATCCAGTGTCTGAAAGAACAACCATGATCTCAATGCAAAACCTTTCAAAGTCCCCAGTTCAATCCTCAGGTCATCTACACACACCATGTGTCACCGGCACCTCATCCCACATCGACATCCTCCCACCCGACCTGGTACCCCGTCGGACCGCCCACCGCGAGGACCTCCAACCACCGTGGCCTGGAGCAGATGGGCCTCGTCGAGGCGGAGGAGCTGCGGCGTTTGGCCGCTGGACCACCGGTCACTGATCAGAGACAGATGTGTTTAATTGTTTCATATTGTGTCTAATTGTTTCTGTTTCAATTAACTTATTTCCATTTTTTTTTGTTAAACATAATCTTTTGAACATGTGTAAACCTATTCTATTTTCCTAATCCGAGAGGGACTCTGCGATTGTGGAGCGGTCGAGTGTGGACGGTTTGGCAGGACTTTTGTTTGCCCTGTGTATGGACACGCAACGCAAAAGGACCCGTAGTTGTGGCACCCATTTTCTGATCCAGTTTGAGCCCAGTAATGATCCAGTTTTCTGATCCAACTGGTTCCAGAGTGGGTAATCCCATTATTTTTAACCAGCCATTTTCCGATCCATTTTGAGCCCAGTTGGTGGTAGAGCTTGCGATGGGACCCTCGGGATGAGCCTCCCTCCAAAGGCTTTGGTGGTTGGGCCACACGATGTTGTCTCCCCAAGACATCACACAGACATGTCTCCCAGTCTACCACAAAACCCAGGTGTTCTACTTGCACTGTACGTGCTGATCTGCGCCTGTACTTCCCCAGCTCCGCCCTCTAAGCCTCTAAGCCACGCCGCGCGCTAAATCCGCACCCCTCAGGTTTGGCAGGTGGCCTCCAACTGTCGTGTGCGGAGCTTGAACGAGGTGAACCCTCAGCTTTGGCTCGATCGCTACAACAGGACCACAGCGCGTCTTCCGGTCACACCGGTTTCGGAACGGCAGAACGTTCCGTTTTTTGGACCGCAGAAAGCTGCGCGACCGGTGAAACCGTGGTTTTTGGCAGGGATGGGGGAGTTTTCTCAGTGAGGGGGAGAATGAGGGGCTTGGTGTGGGTTTGGGTGTGGGAGGGTTGGAGGTCAGTGAAGGTATTGGTGTATTGTCGTTTGGCGGTCCGGTGAAGAATGAACCCGAGTTCCTTTGTGCCCATCGGGCTGGGGGACTTCTATTATCGTTGATTTTCAGACACTGCCAGAATCCTGAGAAGGCCACATGTCAGAATTCTGGCAAGTCTTCTTTGAATGGTGAGTGGGGATTGCTGAGTCAGAGTCGGCTGCACAGGTGAAGAAGAACTATAATATATTGCCACGAGTGACCCGCTACGTAGTTAGGGAACGAGCTTTTATGCTCACTTGGCCTTTTGGTTTCAAGTTCTTTCGTGGGGGCGCTCAAGAGCGTGGGGCGCCTGTGGGCGTGATGCCTGGCCCATGGGTATACCTGCCAGATAACCAGGAATACTTCAAGGAGCTGGAACTTGTGGAACATGGGTACTATGAACTCAAGCTCTATGATGAAGAAGGAAATGGACAAGGAACTGGTCTCTGGCAGGTTACCCATATGGTCGAAAAGAAGAAAGAGGGGATTTGGTTGGAAGGACGCTTGATTGCAGCCAATGATCCTCACTTACAGTGGTGGCTAAAGGATGGCGAAGGAAAGGATTACGAGAGAAAGTTTGTGATTCACCTATGCGCTACTCCTTCAAGCGGTTGTCGGAAGACAAAGCGGCACAGGGAGCAGGAATTCCATTCCGACACCTACCGGGAGATTAGCTCGGGCGACATCATCAGCAAAAGAGTCGGCTGGTTCAAGGGGGACGCTGAGACATCGGATATTGATCACGAGGTGGCAGTCTTGACAGGGTCACCCCCTGTAGAGCCGGCAGCTGGTGATCGCCGCGGTCCGATGGGACCAAGCAAGTTATCCTGGGATGAAGGGGTTGGACGTGCCATGGACATGGATGAACCGCCTGCGGGCGAGGATGTGAAGGAACGTTTGGCTGAGCTTGGAGCCCGTGTGGGTGTTGGAGGCACTGCCCGTGATGACAAGCCAAAAAGGGGCAAAACCAAGGTTGATGAAGCTCCACCTACGGGTGAGAAACCAAAAGAAAAAGCAAAGAAGAAAACCGGTAAAAAGAAGAAGGCCCAGGATCCTCATTGGTTTGGCCGCCCTGTGTCTGAATCTGATGAAGTTGTCGGATCGGACGAGGCTGGCTCTGAGGAGCAGAATGACCTCGCTGACGAAGGAAGGACTACAGGACGAAAACGCAAGCCGACTCGAAAGAGAGGCAGCAGGAAGCTCGGCAAGCGGATGAAGGGTGAAGACCGGGGACCCTTTGGAGTGGGTCACAAGGTCGAATTCAAGGACTCGGACAGGTCAGACGATGACGATTCCGGGTCGTCTTTTCACGCGGGCCCCTCCACGAAGTCCCGGCAATTGCAGCTTCAGGAGTACTCGGAGCAGTACCCCGGGCGATTGGCGGCACGACTCCTGCAGAAGATGGAAGAGATCCTAGCTCGGCAGGAGGGGCCCTTGTCATCGAAGGCCGAGCGAAACTTGACTCCAGCGACCGCAACCTCCTATTTCCTGACGGTGCTACTTCCCCAATACAAGGACAGAATAAATCTCAGGACGAGTCGGGAAATAAGAACCCTGTCCAAGGTTCTGGATCTCATGGCAGTCGGAAACGTGAAAACAGCAGGGGACGTGGTCGCTCAAAGGATAAAGTCCCTAGAGCTGTTCCTGGCAGACCAGGTGTGGGGAAGAGCGCAGCACCTGGAGCTCATTCCGCCCGAGGGCGTGAATCTTGTAGGAAAGGATGAGACTCTGATGGCGACAAAGGAACAGGTCACAGACCAGAAGATGAAGTGGGCAATAGCGGGTTACACCCCGTGGAGACCACTATCGAAGGGAAAAGGAGACATGGAGGAGAAAGGAAAAGGAAAAGGAAAGGGCAAGGGAAAGAAGGGGAAGAAAGGAAACGACCACCAAGAGACGGCCCCTTCCGCTTGATGGACAAGTCAGAAAGTGAATCGTCTGAGGGCGTGACCCTTCTTCCCCCTTTCCTGGGTCCATCGGATGTTGACCAACGTCCTCCCTTGCCACGGAAGCCGCCAGTTGTCCGACCAGCTGACGCTTCTGGTGATGATGATCCAGAGACGGTCACTAGGGATTTGTCTGATCGAGACGACGGTTGCCAGATCAATCCGCATGGAGTGGATGTTGAACCATGCGAGAGCGTTCAGGAGTGGACAGCCATGGTAAAGGAGCTGTTCAAGCAGAAGGCGAACTTTAGCGATCTGGGTCAACACCTGTATGCCTTGATGTTTGTGTCACCAACCCCGCTCGGCAATTTCGTTCGTTCGTTTTGTCTGACCACACAACCCTCCACCCTCACTTCACGAAGGCGGGGTCGTTCAGGGGATCTTTTGCCAATACCACCTTGGCGAATTACAACTGACGTTCCTGGTGTGACGGAGGCCAATGTTCTGTGGTTGAAAGCTGTCATTTGTGTCATCAACTTCCAATATTGCGTGGGCTGGAGCAATCCAGTATGCGTGCCCATCGACGATGACCTGACAGATGTTCAAAAGGTGGCGATTGGGGAGATGGGCCAAGTGATAACAGCAAACATTATTTCCGGTACGCCGGTGAAAACTTTGGGGGAGTGTGAAAAACTCCTCAATTCCAAAAGATATGATTACACGGGAAATCCAGTCGAGTACATGGAAGAACTGGAATGTGACAAAGTGACACCGGCGTGGCCGCGGCCAGGTCAGGCCGCAGTACAGCCAGTGGAGGCTTTCCTTTCGCCTGAGAGCAAAAAGGTTTTTGATTCACCGAGGAGCCTTCTCCTCCCACCGGACAAAATGCCGAAGCAGGCCTTGAGATCCCGAGTGCGGGCAACGGATAAAGAATGGTTTAAGATAGTCCGGGCCGCTCACGAGCGAGGAATGATGAAGCCAGTGGCTGACGAGGATGTCCCGCGGGACCGTCAGGGGCACCTGATTACAAATGGAGCTGGAGGTGTCTACAAAGAAAAGATCATCGATGGAAGGCCTACCCATTGTCAAAGATTCATTTCAATCCTATGCCCGATCAACGCAGTGACGATGGCGATCCCAGGGGCTCAGGACACCTTGCCTTACGTGGGCCAATTGACAGGAATCCTGTTGGAAGAAGATGAGGGGCTGTTCCTCGACAGTGAAGACCTGCAGAGTGCGTTCAATTTGTTTGGGGTCCCAGATACATGGCTCCCTTTCTTTGCCTACAGCAAGAAGGTGGATGCGAGTGCCTTTGGGCTGCCAAAAGGAAAGATGGTCCGGCCGGCGCTGAGTGTCGTCCCCATGGGATGGCATTCAGCTGTGGCATTGGTTCAGGAAGCGGTGAGAAACCTGGTGTTTGAAAAGGCACAGATTCCACGTCAGTTCTCCATTGAGAAGCACAAGCCTTTGCCAGAAGAAAAGAAGTTCACGATAGTTTACCTGGATAACTATGATGAGATTCAGGTCATCAAGCGTTTGGACATGGACATGTCGAAAGAGGGTCATGAGATTTCAGAAGACCACCAGAAGTTTATTGATGCTTGTGATTCGGCCCACCTACCAAGGAATATCGGAAAGCAGCTTATCCATGCTTTTGCAGGAGGATTGCAAGGGGGTGAGCTTGATGGGTCGCGTGGAGTACTGAAACTCCAAGCAGAGAAGCTGCGAGCATACATCGAGGTGAGCCTGTGTCTTCTTACCAAGAAGCGGTGGTCGGAGTTCCAATTGAGGCATTGGACAGGAAAAACTGCCTTTTTGGCGACCTTCAAGCGCTCACTGTTTTCGGGAATGGCAAACATTTTCACTGCAATTGAGAAGGCAAGGGTTACTCCTGTTGGAGCATCATATGAGGTCATTGATGAAATCATGGTTATGATGATCGAGTCACCCCTGAGCCAAGTCGAGTTGCGGGCCAAGATTTCCCCTGAGATCAGTTGCACTGATGCTTCGCCAACAGGTGGCGGCAGCGCAGTGGCCACAGAATTCAAACCAATGCCTGATGTGCACGGGCCACCGGTGTCCGATACTACACGCTGCAACGCCTGCCATCACGACCTCCGAAGTGGTAATGGACGTGTAACCTACCCGTGCCCTGTCCGCTGTGGAGCGAGCTTGTGCTCCGTTAAGTGTGTCATCAGCCATCGTCCCTCCGGGTGCGCCCGCGATATGTTCCCAGTACCATTGTTTGGGGAACGTTTCAGTGGACCAAATTTCCCCCTGACCAAGGCGGTGGCGTTGGCAGGGGTAGGTGTGCAACCACCCCTTGATGTCCTTGTGAAAGATGATGCGTGGGACTACACCACAGAGGCCGGAAAAGAGCGTTTGGACGAATATGAGGCAGATCCAGGGCTGATGGCGAGCCATTGGGCACCAAAGTGCAAAACTTTCTCAGCCGCGAGGGGTCGACCCGTCTACACCACTTCAGGAAGATGGCTTCAAGGGCTGAAGGCTCTGCGAACAAGGGATAAGCCCTGGGGAATGGATCATCTGAATCCGGCTGAACAGATTCTGGTTCGGCGCGGTAATGCAATGGCAAAAAGAAGCCTGAAGGGGCTACAAGATGCCTATGAGCGGAAGAGGTTTGGTTGCCTTGAACATCCGTGGGGTTCACACCTGTGGGCCACTCCCGAAGCCACGGAATTTGCATCAAGGCAGGGTATGTTCCACACCTATTTCTCTGCCTGTTGCTTTGGAGGTTCTCGGACAAAGTGGACAAGCCTCCTGCACAACGTCCCAGAGCTGCACGCGGCTTTGCACACACCCGTGTGCCCAGGTCACCAAGGCCTCTTGCCGTACGAGGTGCACGACGAGGATGGAGTTCTCCGATTTGATACAGCGGCTGAGGCCGAGTACGCTTGGACGCTATGCAAAGTGTACGCTGAGGCGTTGAGAGCAGCATTGGCTAAGAGAGTGAGCGTTCCCTTTGGGATTCAAGCCTGGGATGCTAAAGCGGCCATCCTTGCTGCTTTGAAGCGCTCCACCAGAGGAATGCAGAGTGATGGAGCAGCTGAAAATGTCTGCCACGAGGTCCTCAACATTTTGAAGACTATGAATGTTGGCCGTGAACAGAAGCACCTGAGGTGGCTTCTGAGGAATATCTGCATTCGTGGGACCGAGGTCCGTTTTGAGTCAGCGAAAGAGGACGGGTCTGGATCCTTGCTGGTCCCTTACCCCGCATATCGATGGCAGTGGAAGACCAAGCTGTCTTACCCGTGGCAGCACACGCAGCACATCAACGTGCTGGAAGTCTCCGCCTTCTTGGTGGAGTTCAGACGCCGGGTGCGCGATGTGTCGCAGTTGGGCGCCCGCTTTTTCAATGTCACTGACAGTCAGGTGACTTTCTTCTGCTTGTCCAAAGGACGAAGTAGTTCGGTGCGGCTGAACCGCCTGCTGCGCCGTGTCAATGCATTGATCTTGATGAGCCGAGCTATGCCCTTGCACTTGTGGACCATCTCCAAGTGGAACTTTGCTGATGCGCCGAGCCGGCGCTTTGAGCAGTGAGCATGCCGCGGTCTAAACATTTGCGTGAAGCAGGGATAGCTAAACGGACAATCAAGATCTATGAGCGGGAGGTTTCACTGTTCCTGTCCTTTTTGCATGTTGCAAAGATTCCTTTACCCTCCAACTTCAGGGCCTTGGACAATGAAGTTTCTGAGTTCATCAATCTGTTGTATCAAGAAGGGGAGAGTATTTCGCGTGCAGAAGCGATTGTACCCGCGTTGTCGGCGGGAGCTGTGCATTTCGCAACAGTGGTACACAAATTGGACTAGAGAACATGTCCCGACACGAGCAACCCCATGCACATGGGAGATGGTCCAAGCATTTATTGGTTTGTGTCTTCGACAAAAGTGGCCTCATTTGGGCCTGATCTTTCTTTTGGGCTTCGTCTTCTTTTTGCGCATCGGTGAAGTTATTGGTTTAGCCTTGACAGACATTGAATGTGACCTGACTACCTCAACAGTCCTTATCCGACTTGTCAATACGAAAACTTCACGGCAGCATCAGCAGTTTGTCGCACACACTGACAGTAATTTTGCACTGCTTACGCATTATTTCCTTCGGTCTGTGGACCCGTCTATTCCACTATGGCCATGTTCACTTTCTTACTTCCGCATTTGTTTTCGTGCTGTGACTTCATTTTTTGACCTTGATGAATTGAATTTGGTTCCATACAGTCTCCGCCGTGGCGGGGCTTCTTATTTCTATGGGGCTCAAAAAGCGTTGGACTTTGTGATGATTCAAGGCCGTTGGAAAGATCAACGAACTGCCAGATTGTACCTGGATGACGCTCGGGCCTCTTTGATCTCCATGCAACTTTCTCCTACCTCTAAGGCACTGATTTCCTCTTTCCGTGTCTCTTTTCTTCGTTTTTGTACTTCGCTTCGCAAATGACTCGTGGAGTCCTCCTGGTTGGGGGTCCTGTGTGGTGCTCTTTTTGACTCCACTTTGCTTGGGCTGGTTGTGGTGTTCTCTTCTTCCTGGTGTTGGCTGTTTGCTTTCTGGTTACTC